TCCAAATAATATATTTCAAATGTTTCTGTTCTTTACTAACAGTCTCAAGTCTCAGAAATGTATGAGGCTTCTCTGTTTTAGATTAATTTGAAAACAATTTTGAAATATTTCAGTTCCTGTAATGAATAGTATTGCTTCACCATGTTTCGGTGAAAAAATTAAAATCCCACTCAATGATTTGAAACCTCATTCATTTTCATCTGCTACCTGAGTATTGTTTCTAAAACCGTCATTATACTGCCTCCTTTTCAAAGACAGCATTTTAGAGAACCCACTGAACACCAACACCTTACAAACATCTCCCTGCGATGTTGTAAGAATTTCTCAGTGTATATTCCTATGTCTCATGATGCAAAGCACCAGAAGAGAGAGAGAAGAGCAATTATGCTAACTGCTTGTCAGCGTTAAGATCTTGCACTCAGCGTTAGTGAGTCATTACCCCTACAAACTGTCAGCCAGGCTGTATCAGTGAGACAAATAACGCTATGAGAGGCTATTTTAAATATATATCTTGAAATAAGGCTGCAAATTAATAGAGGTCAGAATAGTTTCATGTTTCTCTTTTCTATACACTGAAAAGATAGAAAAACTGTGAGAAACACCAAAGTGGGCACTGAAAATACTGCCTTTTACCACAGGAGTTTAAAAGTGACTCTCACAACAAAGTACACTAATGGAAATAAAATCCAGAGTGCCCAGTGTTATCAAACACAGCCCTACGAAACCACAGTTCATAAAGGTGTGGTTCGTAATACGCATAAACATCTACACATCCACACCTGCAGGCGAACACACATTATATAGTCCAAACCCAAGCCAAGCCTAAGTATGACTCCTATGCAATAAATCATCTGAAATTGTAAAGGCCCTGGGGGCACTGACTGGCCTTACTAGCCCTGACTAACCTCACCTGGGCCTCCACCATCAGCCTCTGCCCATGGCCCAGGAGCCCCATTTTCAGCTCAGCCTCTGCCTGAGCTGTGCTGTAGGAGCTGGCTGTGGACCCTGTTGATCCTGGCTCCTGGACTGACTTCCCAGCTTCACCTTGGACCTGCCTAGCAATTGCTGGACCTGACCCTGAGCTGTGGACTGACCTCCTGGCTTGGCCTCAGACCTGCTACATCACCACAAACTTGGCTAGTGTTCTGGACCCTTGCTCGACCCTGGCTGCCAGCAATTGGGTTTGCCCAGCTCACCCTGTGCTGTGGGACAGGGCCCTGGATGGTGAGGCCCCTGCCCTGCTGGGAGGTGTCATCACCCATGGCTTCCCATCCCTCTGGGAGCAGCCAGCCTTTGCTGTGCCCTCACAGAAGTACACAGTGGTGTGGGTACAATATGTCTGACTTGTACCTCGGTATATATACGCACACCCCCGTTTCACCAGATACTAATGTACACTGGTCTCACTTGAAAACAATGAATTTGGTGTTTCTCTTTAGTTCTCTGGGATAATTGTTGAGTGGCAATTCAATATACTTCTCTATTGATACAATCAAAATGGTATTTTCAAAAAGGCTATTCAAAGACACACAAAAAAAACCCAACTGAAAAACAACAGTTGGCTACATTTGTGTGAGGCTACTTTCAAACAAAAAAAGAGGAAATACATGGAATAATTTGGAACATAAATTATACATCTTTCAAAAACAATTATAAAAGACATTATGTCCATGACCTGGAAAAATTTGCAAATTTGATCTGGAGCCCTAAGCATTTAGAAGCACATCCTACGCTCTGCACTTGTATAAAAGTAGCTTGTGTTACTTCTCACTGAAGTAAATTACATTTTTCTTGTTGGAGATGTAGAATCAAGGGTCATGCTACAACCTTTCACAGGCTAATAAAGGCTTTGATCAAACTCAACACTTTTTAAAATGCACCTGCTCCTACTCTTTCAGTATATCCCAATCCTCTAAAAATAGCCAGCAGTATGATTGACTTGCTCCCTGAATGTGGATGATCCTCTGTATGTTCTTGGCAAAATAAGCAGTATTAAAAGACAGACTAAAGTACATCCAGTTCTGAACTAAAGTCTGCAAACAAAGAAGTATGTTAACCCTGGGGGAAAAAAAACCAACTAACTTATCAAATTAATTCTCATTTACCTTTTCACATTTAAATATCTAGCATTCATAAGTGTGATAATAAGGATGTGCACCTCCTTGTCTTTGTGGTTGGAAAAACTGTGACACAAGATAAAGGACATATGGGGTTGAGAGGATAAAGGCTAAAGAAATCTATATAAGAAGATCTGAGGAGCTAATGGTTCATTGGAGGTCAAAAAGATCATTAACTTTCATAGAATACTTCACTGACTTCTGTTTAATGAGACATTGACCCATCTGTTACTAATCCAGACCTCCAACACACTACTTAGAGCTGTGTAGATATCTTAACTAATTTGATATATTTATTTCTGTCAAAACACAAATATGACAACACATACTTTTATATATATAACAAATTGCGTACAATGTCCTTCATTATTCTATAACAACAACACAATATACCAATGAAAGATGGCTGTTGCTGCTTTCCATCTTGTTGGGCTCCAGCATATTAGAAACACAACTCCTACAAACCACAAAGAGGAAGCACCTCACACAGAATCCCAGATACTTTTGCTTCTCTCCATTGTCAGGTTCTCAACCATTTTTGCAAGACCTTCAGAAGTGCCAGGAAACCAAAACTACTTACTTATGTCTTTCCATAGAAATTAGTAGCGTTTAGCAAATAATACACATTTACAGAGACCATCAGCTAGCACTATGTCTGTTCTAACTACTAAGTTCTACAAGCAGCATCCTTACCCCTTTCAGTTCACCCACTGACAGTGTCCAGTAACACACCCTCCCAATTCTGGCAGATACATGAATGCATTTCCTATGTGTCCTGGTTTCGGCAGGGATAGAGTTAATTTCCTTCCCAGTAGCTGGTACAGTGCTGTGTTTTGGATTTAGGATGAGAACAAAATTGATAAGGCACCGATGTTTTAGTTGTTGCTAGGTAATGCTTACACTGGCCAAGGACTTTTTAGTTTTCCATGCTCTACCAACTGAGAAGGCTGGAGGTGCACAGGAAGCTGGGAGGGGGCACAGCCAGGACAGCTGACCCAAACTGGCCCAAGGGACATTCCATACCATGTGACGTCATGCTCAGTACATAAACTGGGGGAAGCTGGCTGGGGGGGCCGCTGCTCGGGGACTGGCTGGGCATCGGTCGGCGGGTGGTGAGCAATTGTACTGTGCATCACGTGCTTTGTGTATTATTATTATTATCATATTATTATCTTTATAATTTTATTTCAATTATTAAACTGTTTTTATCTCAACCCACGAGTTTTTCTCACTTGTGCTTTTCCAATTCTCTCCCCCATCCCACCGGGGGGGGGAGGGGAGTGAGCGAGCGGCTGCGTGGTGCTTAGTTGCCAACTGAGGTTAAACCACGACACTATGCCTGTAGGAAAAAGCAACCAACAGTAGAAACCTGGGCCCTTACCACTATGCTCAGGAAGCTAGAAGCTCAGGTCTCTTCTGAATAAGGGAGACCTTGATGCCTGCTGTGAATTATGCTGTTTGATTATGGTCTGCATACATCCTTCTGGCAGCTGAGGCCTAAGCACAGGGAACAGTGTTAACCATCTTCTACAAAGTCACCACGAGCCCAGAAGCCATCACGTCAGCCCCACATCATTGGATACTGCCCAGTCCAGAGTGGTACTGCTCCTGGCATTGGTTGCTGGCATTGGTTGCTCTGCACTCACAAGCTGTCTCACTGGAACTAATTTGGAGATATTCTCGTCCATGTTCTCAACAGATAGTAAAATGTGCATTGTGTACTATCAGTTATAAAGCCTACTGATTCACTGCACACAGCTCACGGAGGCAGAGGTGGAAACTTATAAATGACTGCTCTTACACAACCTCTCCTGCAATAGTACCTTATGCAGATTTTGCATCTAACCATCAAAGCCTGTCTTTACTGTAAAACGTTCTCCTTAAGATTACCTTAAATGTTTTGCAGCATCTTCAGCCAGTATGCAACCCGAGTGCCCAACAGAATACGCCTAGGCCTCTGAACACACATCACCTGTTAAAGTCCCGGTATGGACTCTCCATTTGCAAAAAAAGTGTTGGTGATGGATCTTGAAAACCTTCATTTAGAATGGCGGCAGGTATTTGTGAGGCAGAAATGACAGTTAAGGTCACCTGGGACATGAGAGTTGTACATCTCCATGCACTTTTTGTGACAACAGAAATGTGTCCGTGAAGGCTCTACTCTCTGACCGTTAACAGTTCATAGAAGTTTGAGTCTGGTGACCTTCAAAGCAAAACACACCTATCGTCTTTACTACTTGATGAACTAATTTGTATTTCAAATTCTCTTAAATGAAGCACCTATCTGTCAGGATGATAGGCACTGTACAGAACTTGCAAAGACAAAAAGAACTAAATAAAGCAATCAGAGAAACCTTTTATTCAGCTGCTACGATAAATGACAGATAGTCTCATTATGCAATTCCCCTAGCTCCTCTTAACATACCTGACCCCTAGAACTACATCACATGATTCATCAGTATTGTAGTTTCAAATATTTTTCAAAAACAGTGCAGTAATACCTTCTCGCAGTGATTTTGTAGTATTGGTCTTGGGCATGAAGAACTGAAGATTCCCAAAGTGCACGTGTACATCTCACAGCTCATTCAATGAGGACAACAAAAGAGTGGGCAAACACAATCTATATAGCATTTTCAACTTTCTTTATCATAAAATATTTTCATAGAACAAATGAAAGAAAACATGTATTTGACAACACAAATAATTATAATACCTTCTTACATTCAGATGGAAATTGTGCACAACCCTGTTCAAAAGACTTCGCATATTTCATTAAATAACTTTCAGTAATTCAGTAAGTGTTTTTGCATTAGCAAACTGGATTATATAGTGATGAATAGGGGGACAGTGTGAAGACAGCAAAACAGACCAAAACAGCTTTACCTGTTGCCTCTTCTCAAATTCTAACTTGATACGCGATTTGATGCAGTTGCACGTGTCCTGATACGTCTGCTGCAGTGCAAGTTCCATGAGGTGTTTGTGGTATGCTCCTGCCAAGTTTCCGCAGATAAAAATGATTACATTTGCCAATATCTAGGGGGTTAAAAAAAGAAGAAGTGTCAGGGAATTTATATAAATAAATTAACAGAACATAATCCTAACCTGAAATGAAAGGTTGCTGCAGTTATGTATTTTGTTTGTATTTGATTTCTAGCAAAGGTTCACCTTTCCAAAAGCCTTCACAATCAGTGGCAAAATCCCAAGCAATAATACCATTTTCATTTAGGATTAAATAAGAATGATAATGAACAACGTGTTTGCCTATTAAATGAGGTATAAATTTCTGAAAAAGAAATTCAGCTCATGTTATGCATCCACCGCTGAGTATTAATTAGGTGGGATCATGATCTACTGATGTAAAACAATAGCTATGGCTCCTAATAACAACATCAGAAGCCATGTTATTGCCATGCTCTTTTGGCAAGACATTTTCTTTTGCAGTGCCATATGATTAAGGGGTGAAAAGATTCACCTACATCAACAGCCTGACTGCATTTTATCTCAGCCTGATCCACTACTGTCTGTCAGTTGGCAACATTAACCTTGGTGACAGTAAGCAATGTTTAAGTCGTGAGATCTGACATCTCTCTACTAGAATATACTTTTCACCACTACCAAAACACTGCATTTGCCTAAACCACATAACTTAATCTATAAAATTTAGTGTCAAACTTACAGCATCAGATACTCAGTGTACACAACAACACGTGAACATGAGAAATAAGTTCGCTTAAAGAATCCGGTTTTATTTATTAATAAATAAATACATGTCTGAGGCATTTCAGAGAAAGTAAAGAGAGGAGAGAGGCAGGCCTTTCCTGTGCTTGAACGTCAAAAAGGACAGAATACTGTGTGGTGATGCTAGCACTTTCAACTGTCCCCAGTTTATTGCTGCAAAAAGAGGCAAATTTACCCATCCTAGCTCATTCAGGGCAGAAGAAACACAGTAGAGTAATGAAACCAATTCTGAATTCAATAAAAAAAGATAATATTAAAAGGGAACTTAAGTTGAGATACAGCTACAATCTGATCAGAGCAGGTCTCTATCTGAAAGGCCCTGGTGTATCATATAGCCTGGATTACAAGTACTACATGAGGTCGTAGTGCTCATGGTCTGGAAGGGAAGGAGGAAGGAAGGAGGAGAAAATTCCATTAATTCTCCACTGTTAATCTAATCATGAGGTTTATGATAGATTTCCCCAGTGATCATTCATGGTTGGTTTTGGTGTACTTATATACCAGGCAATCCTTTGAGGACTGCTAGTAGTGAAAGAGCCAGAGATGTCAGAAAAAAAGTCAGACAGTATGCTACAGTGGTTCAGAGAAAAGAGAGAAATTGTCCTATTAACAGAAAACCATCTCCTTGAGGAAAACATTTTATTCACAAAAAAATACATGAAGTTTTAATGCTCCTTTTCTAAATGCACACTTTAAAATGAGAGTTTTACAGAAATGCTTTTATTTTCCTCACAAGTTATAACATCATTACAGGCAATACCTGTTCCTCCATCTGTGACACGTCTGACATCTCACCTCCCGTGGTTCCACAAAGCTAAAAGCAGGAACTATACAACTTTGCCACAAAAAGCATTGATGTTTTCAATTTGATAAAACTTTCCTT